GCCAGTGTAAACCTTATTAATAACATCCCATATCACTCTTCAGGACTGTTCAAGAAAACCCACAAAACTCATCTCATTATTCAACAAAGCGAGCAGAAATTCATCCAATAAGACAGAAAAAAAGCTAATTTCTCGGCTGCATGGACGTTTTAATGATGATTAATAATGACTGTAAACTAGAAAAATACTCGACATACTCAGTTGAGAAAGAAAAAGTCAAAAATTGGAGTTCCAATTAATAATCACTTGATTTTTTTTTTCTTCTCATTTGTGTATTTTTGGCTTTCGGCGACAGAACTGTAATTGTCATTTCCTGCTTCGCTACATTTCAAGCTTCATAGTCACATAGTGAACATTTTTCGGTTGTAGAGCTGGCTGTGGCTCATTATTATTAAGTCTTAAATATGAACTAACTTCGTTTTATTTTTTATGATAATGACATTTTTAATAAACAAATTTTTTTCATCGTCGAAGCACAAAAATGAATTTTTTTTCTAAGCCTAATTACAACAATGAACACTTAAAAATTACTAAATTACCTCCAAATAATATTTTTCATTTCTATTCACAAAATAACAGAAAAAAAATGCATGAAATAAATTTTTAAAAGGCGCGACAATTAAGTGCGTAATGAGCATAAAGTCAACAACTTCGACTGATTCATCACAATGAGTTATGTGAATGAATGTTGGAAATGATAATCATCATAACTTTTAACTACAGTGAAATACAGCAAAGCAGGTGATAATTACTGGATTATTAGTGAAATAAGTGTTGCAGTATTTTTAGGTTTTTGAGTGTAAAATTTATGAAAAAAAATGGTTTTTTGGCGCATTTTTAGATTTCTTCAATTTTTTTGATTTTTTTAAAGTTTTATAAACTTTTTAATTTGTTTTAAATTTTATTAAAATGTTCATATTTTTTTTAAGTTTTTATCTTTTTCATTTTAAGTTTTTATCTTTCTCATTTTTTTCAATTTTTTCAATTTCTTTAAATTGTTTCAATTTTTTTTAAATTGTTTCAATTTTTTTAAATTTTTTCAATGTTTTTAAATTTTTCAATTTTTTAAAATTGTTTCAATTTTTTAAACTTTTTGAGTTTTTTTAAATATTTTTCAATTTTTTACATTTTTTCAATTTTTTTAAATTTTTTCAATGTTTTTAAATTGTTTCAATTTTTTAAAATTTTTCAATGTTTTTAAATTTTTCAATTTTTTAAATTGTTTCAATTTTTTTAAATTTTTTCAATTTTTTTTCCATTTTTTCAATGTTTTTAAATTTTTTCAATTTTTTTAAATTTTTTCAATTTTTTTCAAATTGTTTCAATTTTTTTAAATTTTTTCAATTTTTTTTAAATTGTTTCAATTTTTTCATTCTTAAAAATTATTTTTCAATGTTTTTAAACTTTTTTCAAAATTTTTGAACTTTTTCAATTTTTTAAAAATTTAAAATTATTTTAAAACATTTTTGATTTTTTTCCATCTTTTTAAAATTCAATTCTAAGTCAAAACCGCAAAAAATTGCAACATTTTTTTCCAAAACAGCTTAGAAAAATAAGAAATTAAAATAATTTCACGACTGATGGCACCAACACCGTATGTTACAGCACAAAACAAAACAGACAGCCTTAATACCAACCACAAAAAAATAAAAAAATAAATAATGAATCCAAATGTCATGCATGCATGAGGTGATTAAATTTTCACATTTTTATGGTGTTAAAAAATTAGAAAAAATTTTTGTTCAGAAAAAAAAAACTGTTAAATAAATTAGAAGAGCGTTAACTGCTAATGATGATGAACTTTCTGAGCTTGTTTGATGTTTTAGTAGTGAAAATAATTTTTTTTTTTTGGAAGTATGACTGCGTCTTGTAATTGAATCATTAAAGGTGAAATTGCTGTTTATATGTTTAAATTATTCAAATGTTATCATCAACAATCCATCATAATATTGTCACTAAGATACAAAATCCTGCAGCAGCAAAAAATCCCCCCTGTTACTCACACTCACCCCGATTTATTGACCCTCAAAAATTACCCAACTTCTTTTTCGAAATTCCTGTGACACACAATTGAGAATCGACAGCAAAAAACTCATTTTAAATTCATAAAAATTAACAAAGACATTCCCCCGCATTTAAGAATATTTTTGTTGTTGTTGTCACAAAAGCAGGAAGACAAACAAAAATCATTACAAAATGCGACAATCATTAATTTCCTTTTTAATTATTTTTTTTCTTGTCACAAACAATGGAAATTCATTTAAAAAAATTATTTAAACGATGTGAATTTACATGCGGGCATGAGGAGTAGGGGTGCTGAATTCTTGGACATGGAACTGTCGGGATTTGTTACTTTTAATTTGGATAAGTTTCGAGGAGGTCTTTTTGGCGGGAAAACTAAGTTCACAAGATTTTTGGAAGGAAAATAAGTATTATAAGGTTTTTTGGCGGGTAAAAATGAAACGCTTGGTTTTTTTTGGCGCGAAACTATGGACCATGGGAATTTTGGCGGGAAACTATGGACCACGCCACTTTTTGGCAAGAAACTAAAGACAATGCAAATTTTTGGCGGGAAACTATGGACCACGTCACTTTTTGGCGGGAAACTATAAACCATGCGATTTTTTGGTGGGAAACTATAGACCATGCGACTTTTTTGGCAAGAAACTAAAGACAATGCAAATTTTTGGCGGGAAACTATGGACCACGTCACTTTTTGGCGGGAAACTATAAACCATGCGATTTTTTGGTGGGAAACTGTGGACCACGCCACTTTTTGGCAAGAAACTAAAGACAATGCAAATTTTTGGCGGGAAACTATGGACCATGCGACTTTTTGGCGGGAAACTATAAACCATGCGATTTTTTGGTGGAAAACTGTGGACCACGCCACTTTTTGGCAAGAAACTAAAGACAATGCAAATTTTTGGCGGGAAACTATGGACCATGCAACTTTTTGGCGGGAAACTATAGACCATGTGACTTTTTGGCGGGAAAATATAGACCACTCGACATTTTGGCGGGAAACTATGGATCATAAGGTTATGGCCAGAAGAATTGAAGATTTTGAGGTGTTTTTGACGCAACAGTGAGCTTAGCTGGCTTTTTGACAGTAAAATCGAGACTAGACCACTTTTTAGCGGAAAAGTGACACAAACCCTCATAAATCCATCCAACCTCAAACCCATAACCCCGAAAAATCACAAAAACATTCTCATTTACAAAAAAGTCGTCCAACAGACACGAGAAACGCAAGAGAGCAAAAATTAAGTGCAATTAATGATTCTGAATATACACAACAAAAAAAAATCAGAAGATGTAAAAAGTTGAGAAGGAAGAGGGCAATTATCGATGCTTAAATAGAATTTACAGAATAAATTTTTCAAGTACATCCAAAAAATTATGGCGGTAATTGTTTCATTAAAATTCATTAATTTTCATCTTTATTCATTCATGAGGAATTTTAAGTATTATTGAAAGGTCTTGATGAGTCTTGCAGCTGTGGCTGCAGTGATTTAGACTAACCAGTCTCAAAACTCTTTCAATTCTAGTCTACAATGTTAATAACATCCCACTCAGAACCTTATAATTAAGCACCCGTAATTAAATTGTCCAAAAAATACTACAACAACATAGTTTAACGGCACAGCACACACAACATTCATTAAGCTACAGCATAACATGTGTTTAATTTTCGACTCATTTGACTTGAACAACAAATGAAGAAGTTGCTGCTCGATGTGCTCTTTTAATTACAGTCATTTTTTTTTGGGTTTCTTTTCTTGGCACTAAGTTCATAAAAGTGAGCTGTTTTGGTATGTATTGAGGCTTATCTGCCTTGAATTTATCGAATCTAATCAGTCTACCGTGTACGAATCTTATCAGTTGTGATTAATTAGGTTTTAAGAATTTTGATAGACACAAGTTCGTGTTTGTTTCAATTATTCAGCAATTTTAGAGGTTTTGATAAGGTTCTGGATTAATCATGTATTGGATGTTGGCTTTTACTGTTGTTTAAGTATACTTATTGGATGTTTGTACGTCTGCACATCTGTACCTCTCCTCTCCTTCATTAAAAACAGCCATAACTCTTCACTATTGTACCTTAATAACCCCGAACCTTTGAATTTTTTCATATGCCATTCTTTAGTACCTTAATGCAGTGGTGGGTAACCTTTTTTGTGCCACGGCACCTGTTGGTAAAGAGCTATGACTTTAACCGCACACGACATACGGTTCGTAGGATTTCTCAAAATGTTGAATGTGTCGCGGCACCTAATTTGGCCACCACTGCACCAGAGGCTCTACATTATCGTGATTCAGTATCCACATAAGCCTTGGAACCTCAACAGTTCCAACTTGTTCTTTTTCGAATCATATGGACTGGAATGAGACTTACAGCCTTCCTTTGTAGGCTACAGACAGAAATGTCATCAAAGGAGTGGTTCGGATCCCACTACAAATTGGAGTTTTAGATTCTAGGTTTGAGTGCAGTGGTTTGGCGCATCCTCACTCGTTAAACTCCCATTACCTGCGAAACGCCCTAGCGCACCTCAGGATAACTATTGTTCTGAATAGGTCGAGGTTTTTTTTAAGCTCCTATCAATTATGCTAGTCACAAAGATTCAATTGAACCAACATAAAGTCTTCCATGTCATGTCCAAGCAGTGCCCAAGAGCATGCAGTTGCTGCATGCGATTTTTGTCCTGGCTCACCATCAATTGTGCCGTGGCACAAAAAAGGTTGAACACCACTGCCCAAGAGTCCTATCTTTCAGATAAAATTCAGACTACGCTTTCAATTTCATCACAAAATGTCCTTTAACCTTCAATATCAAGTCCATAAATAGCACTAAGCTCCGCCGAAAGCAACACTTTTATCTCATTTATTTACAACGAATTACAATTGAATCAAAACTTAATTCACTAAAAACTTTGATAAGATTGTGATTATTTTTGATACTATAAAAGTTGTAGCTTCCTGTTCAAGTGGTTTTATTTCATTAACTTTATTCCATTGACGTGGAACAAAAATGTTTAAGTTTTTGGCTCTTGCGCTGCTTTTTGTAGCTTCAGGTATGTAAAAAGTGGTCTACAGCACTTCCATCAGCTAAATCTAACCTCAATTTTCAGTCTCATCGACTCCAGTGATCCGTCATCGATGGCAAATCAATGCCAATCAATTAAGCAATGACATTAAACGTGGAAGTGGCAGAATTGTTGGTGGTGTCGACACTGACATCAGTGAAATTCCACATCAAATTACACTTTACTTCCGTCGTGGATTCACATGCGGTGGATCGATCTTGAATACAAACACAATCTTGTCAGCTGCACATTGTACATTGTGAGTTCCTGGCTATCCTTTAGTAATTTTTCGTACTTAATATCCCAAACTTTAACAGCGGACGTGACCATGCCGACTTCCAAATCCTCGCTGGATGGACCAACCGTATGGATGGTGCTGCACACATCCAACCAGTCAGTGAAGTGCGTGAACATGAAGCTTATGATGATTGGGAATTGTGGAATGATGTTGTCATCCTCAAGTTGCCAACTCACTTAGTTGAAGGAACCAACATTAGACATGCCAACTTGCCACCACCTGGACATTTTATTCCATCTGGAATTGATGTGAGTTGTGAGCTTCCCGTCCTTAAATTACTGAGACTGAATTTTGTTTCATTTTCTAGCTTACCGTCTCGGGCTGGGGAACCATGCAATGGGGAGTTAGCTCATTCCCAGCTGTCTTACAATCCACACCAGTTCCATCGATGACAAATGCTGAATGTCAAGCTATTTATGTTGATGAAGTTCTTTTACCACAACATGTATGTGCTGGTCGTGTTGGTCATGATGCATGTCAAGGTGACTCCGGCGGTCCATTGACTGAAAATGTTGGAGGTGCTGGTGCTATGGTTGTCGGTGTTGTCTCATGGGGTTACTTCTGTGCTAGAGAATACCCAACAATCTACGCTAGAGTTTCATACTTCTTGGACTGGATTCGTCCACATATGTAAAGCTTGAATTGATGTTGATTATGGATAATAAAATGATGAAATTTTTGTTGAATGTTTGAAAATTGAGTTTTGGTTTTTGGGCTTGAGAAATGTTCTGGTGAGGTTTTCTTAATCAGCTCAACTTTATCAAATGTACTTGATTAAATTTACTTGATCAAGTCTTCTTGATTAAGCTTACTTGATTAAGCCTACTTGATCAGACCTACTTGATTGGATCTATTTGAATAATTTTTTGATCAAGTCTACTTGATAAAATTTACTTGATCAAGCTTACTTGATTAAACCTACTTGATTGAATCTATTTGACTAATTGTTTTTGATAAAGTCTCCTTGATCAGATCAACATTATTAAGTCTACTTGATCAAGTCTACCTAACCAAATCTACTTGATCAAGCCTACTTGATTAAATCTACTTGATGAAGCCTACTTGATTAAATCTACTTGATGAAGCCTACTTGATTAAATCCACTTGATCAAGCCTACTTAAATAAATCTACTTGACCAAATCTTTTTGATAAAGTCTACTAGATCATAATAACATGATTGAGTCAACTTGATCAAGTTTACTTGATTAGTCACATTGCGGTTTTATCTAATCTAAATAACACTCAAAAGTTGGGAAAAGCTAGTCTAGCTTCGCAGGTAATTAAGTGACAATAAGGCAAATGAATGATATGAATTCTGCTTTTTAGTTCAATCTAGTGCCGTAAGTCGAGTCAAGTCAACTGATTAGATTTCAAGGTCGGGTGCAATCATAATCCTAGGGTACAACTCGTCCCACCTTTAGCTGTCTCAAACTAAAGTCTGCGGTTTTACAATTAATAAACCTAAAGTCTCAACATTCTCATTCCTTTAACACAGTCAAGTGAGCCACAGAGAAACAATGACCATGCATATAGAAATGGATGGATGGATGCGATTCGAAGGGGACAATTAAAATACAATTAAATGTAATTTTGAATTTCATTATTTTTAATTTTTATTTTCATTTCTTGTTATTTTTTTTACTTCTCATTCTTAACTTTGTTTTTTTTTCTTGGTCTGTGGATGCTTGTTTTGGATGATAATTATTGTCGATTTTTTTTTTTCGTTGGTTCGTTTGTGGTTTTTTGGATGTTTCCTTTTGGAATTGATAATTGGACTGGTTTTTTGGGTAAATTTTGTTTTTTTTTGTTTTTTCAATAAAATTTAAATTTGTCGAAAAATCGATAGTAATTTGAATTTTTAAAAATCGTAAATAATTTGAATTTTATAAGTACGTTAAAAATATGAATTTTAAAAATCCGTTAAAAACTTGAATTTTGAAATCACTTAAAAACTTGAATTTTTGAAAATTCAATAAAAATTTGAATTTTAGAAAACCGTTACAAATTTGAATTTTTAAAAAGCGGCAAAAATTCAAATTATTAAATTTCGTTAAATATTCAAATTTTCAAAACCAGTTAAAAATTTAAATTTTTAAAATTCGGTAAAATTCAAATTTTTAAAATCCGTTAAAAATTCAAATTTTTAAAATCCGTTAAAATTCAAATTTTTAAAATCTGTAAAAAATTCAAATTTTTAAAATTCGTTTAAAATTCAAATTTTTAAATAAATGTAAATTTTTAAACATCGTTAAGAATTTATCATTTTTCTATATTTAAACTATGAACAGAATGCCAACTTTATGTCAATAACTAGGTAATTCCATTTATTGCATGCGTCGACAGTTCCAATCAACCGATTAACCTCTTCCTCATTTACAGCAATTAAAAAAATAACAATTCGTTGAAGCACCAACACGCAAATTGTGGACTGTAAATTGCGTAGGTATTAATTATTCAAAAAGACATAATTACAAGTCCTGACTCACTTAATTATCCACTTACAGAACATCATGTTCAATTTTTTGCAACAATAGTCACTGCTAGGCACTCAAATATGTGAGAATTTGTTGATATTTCATCGACTAGTCAGCACCAGCAAAGGGAGTACGGGGAATTAAAATTGCAACATTTTGTATGTGCGTGATCAGCAATTAAACATTTTTATTCAAGCCATGTGTGATGCTCCAATTTCATTTATTGTTGCTGATGCCTTCTGCACGACTTAATATCCAATCTGACTCAGCTACACAAATGTGTATTAATATTTTATATATTTTGTGATCATGATGTATGTAATTTTCATGCATTTTAATTCAGACCCAGACGCGCATGTGATGAGAAAATTGGGAACATTTTTTTATATTTTTGGGTTCCGTAATTTTTGATGCCTGCTTTGTGTGCCATCAACAGTCAAATCAGAGCGCAAAAAATTATAATTTTTTTCTAAATGTAGACTAAGCATTGGATGTGGATGATGATTATAGCTTTTTTTTTTGGTGGATGTGTCGAAGTTCAATTTGTCGATGTTGCATTGGAAGTGATGCAAATGTTAGTAATTATGATGGATTTTTGGGCAATTATGGATGATATGTGGCGTCTTAGACTGCATATTATGATGTTGGACATGCTTGTCTGTGAATTATTGGATACTGATTGGGACTTATAGCTTCCTTCATGCTCTTTACTATGGTTTTTGGTGGTTTGTTGGGATTAAATGGCTATAACGGAACTTAAACTTAACTATGACTCACAAATGGAAGTTGATACGGTCTTGAGAGCTTAGTAGAACTGACTCAGTATCGCAGCAACAGGGAAACTTAAGCATTCATCCGGGTTGGGCCGAAGAGAATTCAATTGGAATTTGAACAGTATTGCTCTGGGTTTAATCATTCAGGGAGGAGCTGGGTAGAAGGGGGGAGGGGGTAGGGAAGTTCCCTCTTAAGATCACTAAGCTGGCTTTAGTCAACTTCCAACTCAGTAAAATGTCAATGAGTCATCCAAATTCGAATCTAATACACAAGAAATATTTGAGAGACTTCCGATCGCATTTCTTATCAGAAATTTCTAAGTCAGTCCTGGTCAAGCGTGGGATGTGAGTTTTGGGTGCTTAATTTGAGTGTGTCGTTGCTCGTAGGTTGACCATCACTGGACCTAACCCCAATGAACTCAACTGACAAGCAAAGCGATTTCACCATCGATAGAGAGCCTCAGCAACTGAATTTGTTATTAATAATTCACAATTTTTGTTCTTTTGTTCAGTTTAAATTCAGCCATTTCTTAAAGCAGTTCTATTTAGTCCTGGCCATGAAGCTAATTATTGTATTACTTTTGACAGCCACAGCGATGACATCAGCAACCGATAATAAGACTCAAACTATGAGTCAGTGGATGTCAGAAGTCAACAATTCTATTTTCACTGATGAACATGATCAGTTCTGTGTTAATCAAACTAAAGATGAATTTGAGGCAGATGAGGATCTTTTGAACTTAGCTGAAGCTATCGTAACATTTGAGGCATCATACAGCGAATGTATGAAATTATATGATCGATTCCGTGGACAAATGAGCAAACTTTACAAGGAATATGAAGCAGCACATAACATTACAAACGTTTATTGCTTCAAAATGGAACTAAATCATACTGGTTTTGTGAAGATAATTAATGGAAGCAGGATGGCTAATTTAATGACAAAAAAATATAACATTCATCCATTGAAACCAACAACTGTTCAGCTTGATTCAATACAAATCGGATCAAAATGTAATGAGACTGATGAAAAGGATTTAAATAATAGAATTTATACAATTAAGTGTAAAGTTCCAAACAAGCCCTACTCACAGTGGACTCATTTGCAGGAAATTGGAGTTAATTTGAATATTTTTTACGAATATGTCGACAAACTTATAAATGAGTTTAAATGTGAACGCGGGTCAGCACTGGGAACTTTGGGATCTAAAAACCTATATAAGTCTCCATATAGGGCTTCCTATAAGGCACCTACAACTAGCTCTGGCACAACGACTTCATCAGTTTTGAATTCAATTATAAACTATTTTATTAAATCAATTAAAATGTTTCAATTCGTATATTAAAAAAATAATAAATAATTTGGAAACCTTTTCAAATTTCCAAAAATTCAAATTTTGACGGTATTTTAAATTCAAATGTTAACGGGTTTTAAAAAATTCAAAGTTTAACGGTTTTTAAAAATTCAAAGTTCAACGTTTTTCAAAATTCAAAGTTTAACGGTTTTCAAAAATTCAAATTTTAAACGTTTTCAAAAATTCAAAATTTAACGGTTTTCAAAAATGAAAAAATTTTAACGGTATTTTAAAAATTCAATTTTACTGTTTTTTAAATTCAAATATTAACGGTTTTCATAATTTCAAAGTTTATCGGTTTACAAAAATTCAAAGTTAACGGTTTTCAAAAATTCAAAGTTAACGGTTTTCAGAAATTCAAAGTTTAACGGTTTTCAAAAATTCAAAGTTTAACGGTTTTCAAAAATTCAAAGTTCAACGTTTTTCAAAAATTCAAAGTTTAACGGTTTTCAAAAATTTAAATTTTAAAAGTTTTCAAAAATTCAAAATTCAACGGTTTTCAAAAATTAAAATTTTAACGGTATTTTAAAAATTCAATTTTACTGTTTTTTAATTCAAATATTAACGGTTTTCATAATTTCAAAGTTTATCGGTTTTCAAAATTTCAAAGTTTACGGTTTTCAAAAATTCAAAGTTTAAAGGTTTTCAAAAATTCAAATTTTAACGGTTTTCAAGAATTCAAATTTTAACGGTTTTCAAAAATTTAAATTTTAAAATTAAAGTTTTCAAAATTAAATTAATCCAAATCAGTTCCAATTTATTATTTGTTTCGACAAGTCAACATTGAGCAAATCATGAGACTGCTTATTGTATTACTTTTGAGTATCGAAGTGACGAAATCAGCAGCTGACAATGTTACACAAATGACAAGCCATAGCTTTTCCAAAGATAATCTCAAAAGCATTTGTGATCAAGAAGTCAAATTCAAATTTGGTGACGATAAAAAATCACGAAATTCACCTTACACAAAGGCTGCTGCTGTCGTGGTTCACACTTTATGTTTGAAAAGGCTTAATCGCTTTCGTGGACAAGCTGCTAAGTTTTACGAAGCATCTGACGAAAAGTTCAATTTTAATCAAATTTATTGTTCCAAAATGAGACTCAACCATATTGAATATATTCTGGAACTTGGCAAAAATTTAATAAAAATTAATAAAACTTTTATTTTAAGGAACAAAATCCGACCGACAGCCTTAAAAATAGACTCAATACAAGTTGGAATGAAATGTAATGAGACGCATGAAAGTTATAAAGATGAAAATCTTAGTTTTTTAATTCACATTCAAGATGTTACGATTAAGTGTAAAGTACCGAATGAGCCTTACGTCCACTGGATCTTTGTTGAGCTTCGATCAGTTGTCAGAACCCAGACGGCATTCAATAAGACTTTAGGGAGTGGATTATTTAAAAATTTTATTACAAATTTGGGAAGAGACTTTAAATGTAGTCACTCTATCAACTTACGTGACCGAAAACTTAAGGCAGATAAGACATCACCTGTCGATGCAAAGCAGACTGTGGAAAAATCTAAATTTTTTCACATTAAATTGTTCATTTTTGGTTTTGGTTTATTAATTTGTCTTCACCACATTTTTCAATCACGGAGGGGTTTGGGGGTGTAGCATATGGTTAGAATTTTTGATCCATAAAAATTAAATTTTGATAATTATTGTTAGTTTTTGATGAATTTCATCCATTGATCCATGTCAAAACTTTTTACTCGTGTCAAAATCTTTGCCCATCATGTTGTTCCCCCCTCAAAACATTAGGTCAAGATTCAATAATAATGTAGCATCGATTAAAAAAATAAAATTTATATAATTTAAATAAATCAAAAATATCCACTTTATCGATCATTTTTATTCAAACCAGTGTTTCTTAAACAATTTATGTCCAAGTCAGGCGCGAAGCCAGGGGGTAGATTTGTGGGACAAATTCCCCTTCCTCTTGAGACATTTCTTCATTTTGCTAGAGTTTTTTGGAAAAACTCGAAAAAATCGCCCCCCCCCCCCTAAAAGTTTTCTTCACAAAAATTTTTTTGCTCCCCCCCTCCCCTCTTCAAATTACTGGCTACGCCCCTGGTCCAAGACCAAAAACTTTCGCAGCACGCTAAGGGGCCGTTCACTTATTACGTTACGCAAAAAACGACTTTTAACCCCCACCCCCAACCTCCATTCCCCCCGTTGTTACAATATGTTACAACCCCCCCCACATTAAAAAGGTGGAAAATTTAAAAAAATTGTTTTTGTGAACTTTTTTTTAAAAGACAGACGACAGTTAGAACCTTACATACTTCTTGACACCCCCCTCCCTTATGTTACATTTTGTTACAATTTTTCAAACCCCCCTCCCCCCTAAAATGCGAACGTAATTAGTGAACGGCACAATAAACGATTTTCATGATTTTTTGAAGTCGCAAAACATGAATATAAAAAGTCAAATTTGAATATAAAATTGTGCCGCAGCACAAAGGTTGAGAACCACTGATTTAAACCTTTATTTTAAGAACAACAATAATCACAATAATTATGATCCACAGCCACACTACAAACTTAATAACATTAACAATAATGATTTTCAAAAAAAAAACCTCGGATGAATCAAATCATTCAAAAAATATTCCGTATAGACAAAAATAATTATCCGAGACAGGCAGCAGCAGCAACAACAGCAAAAAGTGAGCAACGAAAGAGAAAATTGATCATAAGAATTCATCATTATGTGTTATTAATTCTTTATTAATTTTAATTCTATGTCTAAGTTGGTCTTTTTCTTATTCCTTTTTTGACTGTGTCTGTGTCAGAGACGTAGCTACAGGTCGAAGACTTGCTGCTTTTAATAAAGAAATAATACATAAATTTATAAATTTCTTCTAATTTAGTATTGGATTTAAATACTAAAATTTAAAAAAATTGCAATTCCAAATATTAAAAATGGAACAGAACTGATTATTCGACCATGATTGTAAGGAGATAAATCCATAGTTTCTAATTCATCATTATGGTTGACAGAAGTCGATTCATTTGCATTCAATGTTTTTGTTGTCATTTTCTGGCTCAAAGTAAACGTTGCTGCTTGGTTCGAATGACTTGTGACTGTACATTTGAGGTCGTCTTGAAGCTTTTTTGTGTAATCTTTTACCAAATTTTGTAAAACATTCATACTTGTGGATCCATTGGTCACTCGAATAGTTTCTAGAACTAACAATCGCTTGGAAGACAGAGTCGATGCTTTACATTTTAATGTAGCCATGGATAATTGTGGACTATAATTCTTATTATTTACTTCAATTTGAGATGCGTTGGCAAAGTCATTACATTTTGGTCCGAATATTATTAATTCTAGCTGGATGTCCTTTATCGTTATAAAATTCTTTTGTTTTGGATCACTACTAACTTCAGGTACGCCATGATGAAGTGCTAGCTTGAAGCAATAAATTTGTGTAAAATCATACTTTTCTTTATAAATCTTAATGAGCTCCGTCAAATATCCTCGAATGCTTTTGGTGTCCTCTATACAAGCATCGTACGATGCCTTAAACGTGGCTTTAGCTTCAGTTAGATTCATCAATGTATCTCCATTATTTGCTAATAACTCTAGCGTTGTATTTAAGCAGTAATTATCAAGTGTAACAATTTTTTCATCTAACATCCACAATCTCAATGGCTGTTCCTTCTCATCATTTGCTGATGTCGTTTTAATGACAATTAACACAAGTACAATGATTAGCTTCATGCTTGAAAGTTAAATTGATACTGACTTGACAATAAACTTGATCAGAGATTTTATAATCAATTGTCAGACTAGATTTCATGTATTAAACATTATATTTTTCAAAAATTGAATAGCTTATCAAGCTTCACATTTTTTTAAAAGTAATACAAAAACACTTTTGATCAGTGCCAACATAGTTTCAAAAGATCCCGTAAAGAAATTAAAAAATTTCATCATCTCCGTCCGCCAAAAATTACGTATTAAGCCTCACCTATAATTTTTCATTTTCTTATTTTTCTTAATTTTTTTTTTATTTAATAATCAACAATCATCATTAAAATGTGTGTCATTAAAGTTTTTTTTACTTCAGTTCCATTCAGTCGACAAATTAATTTTTCTTTTCATTTTAATTTCTTTTTCGTCTCATTAAAGAAATGGAATGAAATTAAAAAAAAATAATGTTTTAGGTAAATTTGAGGTTACTTTTACGTGGATAAAGGTGTGTTTAGTGATTTGTCTGTGATTTTGAGGTTTGAGCACTGAAAGGAATTTAGAAAAAAAAATTTGCATCCTTTTCTGCATCACTGTTTGCTTCTCTTTCTGCATCTTCTTCTGCATCTCTTCTTGCATCTTTTCTGAATAAGTTTCTACATCTTTCGCTTCATCTCTTTCTGCATTTTTTTCTTCATCTCTTTCTGTATCTCTTTCTGCATCTCCTTTTGCATCTCTTTCATCAACCTTTTCTGCATCTCTTTCTGCATCTTTTTCTGCGTCTCTTTTTGAATTATTTTCTACATCCATTTTTGCATCTCCGTTTGCATCTCTTTCTACATCCATTTCTGCATCTCCTTCTGCATCTCCTTCTGCACCTCTTTCAGCATCTCCTTCTGCATCTCTTTCCGCATCATTATTTTCCGCATTTTTACATAATTTTTAATATCGTTTTACCAAAGAAATTCTTACTTGCAAATTTAATTCCCTTTCCACAGTTCCAACAATAGAAATGGACAACATGTAGAGCAATTATCAATTTCGAGTCCAAAACGAATAACAATAAACAGCACCAAAAACAATTTCTATCGGCTCTGTGACTTAATAATGTGCTCGCCATTGAGACTGAAGCTGACTCATTCATCAAACTTGTAATGATGATTATGATGAGAAACATTTACGATGTGTTGGTATGTAAAAAAATATAGAATCTGAATGGAAACAGTTTTTTGGTAATTATAATAATAGCTGAAATGGCATGATTAAATTAGACAACAATAGACGAGAAATTCTTCGACGTTTCGTTGAACTTTACAACTATTTATTGATTGGAGGAATTCGTTTGATGTGTAAAAGGGAATGTGATTGAAATTATTGGAAAATTGTGGGAATTTGTTGCGGTCTTGTTGAGTTATTAATAATTATGTGATCCAAAATGTTTTGAGTAATGAAACTTGATAAGGAGGTAGCTTATGGATTGAAATCTGATCAAAAAAAAATCAGTTGATATTCAGAACCTTTTATCAAGTAAATTATTGGACTAGTTTTAGCTTTCATTGCGATGACGTCAGCATCAAGAATGACTCAGACAGTGCTCGAGTGGATCACAATGAAGATCACATTGACTCTTGCGTTCATGACGTTAGAATGAAATATAGTAGCACCGCAGGATGTTAATAATGCTAAGGATACCTTTGACGAAGTGTCAAAGGAAGCGCTTCACAACAACTAGACCTTTATGCATTTAATAAACTCTAGTCAACTCAAAACCACACCAATTAATTATTTTCATTAACATCGACATCACGAATTCAGAAGTCCAAAACCTTAAAAAAAATTCTTAGAAGATTCAAACTTATTAAATTTTATCATCTCGCTTCTCAAAAGTTTTTGTTAATTCATTTATTTATTTTTTTTGCCGATCTCATTTCCTCTTTTGAGGCATCTCCAAACAGACAAAAACAGAGAGAGAAAAAAAACAATTTTACCCAAAAACAGTCCGAACGACTACGGCACACATAATCACACTCATCAAGCTTTGAGTATTTAATTGAGGATCTCATTCTCTCGCTCGTATACATACACAAATATATATTGAATTCTGTTTTTAGTTCAGTATAACCACTTGCTGTAATTATTATGCCGTAATTATCCCATTCCATCCCGAGAGCAATTACAACACGCCACAGAGGAGAAAAATAAAATTAAAGATTTTTTTTTTTGAAGAAGAATTAAAAAAATACAAAATTGAGCGTCTTTTTTAGTCAAGTCAAAAAGAGTAAAAGAGATGGAATGAGCAATATCAGCAGCAGCAACAGTAAATAATTATAAATCTGGAGATTCTTTTTTTGGATGTAGCTGACTATTTTTGAGATAAGATGGTTTACGAGGGAGTTGTGTCGTAGTGTCCTTAATAGGGGAATCAACTTATCAAAAGGGTACACAGCTCTTCAAGAGGCTACAGAGCTCATGAAAAGTTGTACACAGCTCATCCAGAAAGGGGTACGCAGCTCATATAAAAGGGGTGCACAGCTCACTAAAAAGGGGTACACAGCTCTTCAAGGGGCTGCGGAGCACATAAATAGGAGTACAAAGCTCATTCAAAAAACGGGTATGCAGCTCAAAATGGGTATGCAGCTCATTCAAAAAGTGATACGCATCTCATTTAAAAATTGATACTCAGTTCATTCAAAAAGGGGGACACAGCTTAATTAGTGGGGGTACACAGCTCAATTATTGGGGGGTACACAGCTCAATTATTGGGGGTCCACAGCTCAATTATTAAGTGTACACAGCTATTCATAGAAGAGTACAAAGTTTATCAAAAATAATACGCAACTCATTTTAAAGGGGTACGCGGCTAGTCTTTAAGGATACTCAGATTATTAAAAGGGGTACTCAGTTCATTTAAAAGGGGTACACAGATCAAAAAGGAGTGCAAAGTTTATGAATGGAGAACATAGTTAAACAATGAGGTTTAAAGCTTATTAAAAGGGTACGCAGCTCATCAAAAGGTTTCACAGCTAACAAAATTGGGAAAATGCGCCTTAACCACACAAATCCCGAAGTATGCTACCAATCTTATTCCCACAACTCAGTCCAGCAAACGATTTTCTTTCTTTTTCTGTTGTTCGAAGAAATCAAGTCGCCACGATGTGTTTAATTATTTTAATTACTTTAATTACATTATTCAAGAAATGAAGTTCGACTGAAGGAAGTTTTTCATTATTATTAACGTTTTTTTTTTATTTTTTGGATATGTTTGTGATGTTCTGCCTGCTTTCTGTTATTTCGATTGAGGCGATGATGAATCAACAACAGTGAAATGTTGTGTGTACGGCAACAATACAGACGACGTTGTTGAAATGAATGAATATACAAAGTTAAATGTAATTTAATTGATGTATGAATGAAGAATATCGCGGAGGCTTTTTTTTGGAGAGTAAAACAGGCTGTAATGAGGAAAGAAAAATTATCTCGATGGTAGCAATTAAATATCTTTCGTCATTTTCTGCTGTCGATGATTTCTTACTTTTTGGCTGATGTGGAATGGAGATTATTATATTTTCGGGTGATGATTTGGCATCATTAAAATATTTTACGGTATTATAACTTTGTTGTGTGATATGTGACGACACACTTGATGTTTTGGGTGCTATTTAGGGATTTTGGAGAAAGTGTGAAGACACCTGAACCTGAAACACTAATGTGAAAGCACCTAAACTTCAAAAATTCTAGGGAATAGGCTTCTAATCACCTAAACTCTATTGTGAAGACATCTGAACAACAAGAAACTAGTGCTAAGGCACCTGAACAACAAAAAGCTAGTGTGAAAGCACCTGAATGACATAAACCTAGTGTGAAGGCCCTTGAACAACAAAGAGCTAGTGTTAAGGCACCTGAACATGAAAAAGCTAGTACGCTAGCACCTGAATGACACAAACCTAGTGTGAAGGCACATGAACAACAAAGAGGTAGTGTTAAGGCACCTGAACATAAAAAAGCTAGTGTGAAAGCACCTGAACGACAGAAACCTATTGTGAAGGCACATGAACAACAAAGAGGTAGTGTTAAGGCACCTGAACATGAAAAGGCTAGTGCGAAAGCACCTGAATGACACAAACCTAGTGTGAAGGCACATGAACAACAAAGGGCTAGTGTAAAGGCACCTGAACCTTAAAAACTCTAGTTTGAAGACACCTGAGCATCAAAAAGCTAGAGAGAAGAAATGCCAAAGATTTGAAATTCAATTTTAATTTCCAATCAAGTCCATATGTGCTCCACATTAAGAATTGCTCAGGAATTTGCATACATGAACATCAAAGGGACTCTAATTAATTTTTTGTCTTAAATTTCCTATCAGAATATTGATTTTCTTCCTTTTTAATTAGCATTTTTCAATAAGAATCTCTTTGATCCCCTCATCCTATCCATAAAGAAATACTCCAGACTAAGGAATTCATCAAACTCATTGTAACAATTTTAAAAGAAGGAATTCAAGAATAAAGGAACTAATACCACATATGCACATAATCCCCAAATAAAAGTTAAATAGTTAATAAAATAAAATAAAATACATCAAAGTCAATAAATGCACAACAAAAATTCGATCAAAGGCATTCAGGCAGGCACAAAAAGAAGGAATGGAAAAAGGAAGCAGAAGAAGAGATAATTATTGACCTATAATTATAGCCTCAAATAAACATCAACACACACACACACACACACACACACACACACACACACACATATAAAGGCATGCATAAAGCCAGTAATCTTCTTCTTTTAATGAAATTAAGAAAATTAAAGACGAAAACTACTTTTTTTTGACTTCTTATTCTTCATCATCATCATTTTTTCTGTGTGTTGTGGTCAGCAAAAAATAAACCGAAGGTATTCATGAGAATGCTTATAATTAGAACATAATAGTTCTCGTTTTTTAAATGAAAATTATTTTATGGATAAACTCTGGCAACAGATTGGCGCCGAATTTTTTACTTTACTTTTTCTCCCTTTTTTGTGGTTCTTGAAGCTAATTTCTTTTAAATTGGAATTAAAAAATTATTAAATGATTTTAAATAAAGTTCTTATTGAGTTGGCTGAGGCTTAGTTTGATGTTAGCAGGAAGCAAGCTCAGAACAACATTTAGCTTGAGAGCCGCTCAGATAGAGAAACGCTTAGCTTGATAGACGCTCAGCTAGAGGAACTCTTAGCTTGGGAGACGCTCAGCTGGAGGAACGCTTAGCTTGAGAGATGCTCATCTCGAGGAACGCTTAGTTTGAGAGACGCTCAGCAAGAGGAACGCTTGGCTTGAAAGACGCTCAACTAGAAGAACTCTTAGCTGGAGAGACGCTCATCTTGAGGAACGCTTAGCTTGAGAGACGCTCAGCCAGAGAAACGCTTAGCTTGAGAGACGCTCAGCTAGAAATTTTCTTATTTTAAAAGACGCTCAGCTAGAAAAACTTTTAGCTTGAAAGACGCTCAGGTTTAAGAATGCATAACTTTAGGGACGCTTAGCTTGAAGCTTGCTCATCTCAATAAATGTTAACATACAGATTGATTTAATTCTCAATAACACAACAAATACTCCAAAAATTAAGTTAAACATTCTTAAAATTCAACATCAAAAAATACACAAGACCTCGAACGAAAAATGCCCAAAAAAGATAAAATGAAATAATTACATTCGCTATAATTACACCAATTAATATCGCATGGGAATCATCAATTCCTGAACAACAATCGCCAGAAAACAGAAGAAAAAGTTAACAAAGAAAAACAATTTGACGAATGTGTAAATGTGGAATCGAAAGCATGCGTTGCTGTCACTTAATTGCCAGTCGTAAAAAAAAATCTCGTCAATAATTATACACACCAACACAATTATGCATAAAAGAAGCAGAATGAAATGGACATAAATGAAATTAATGTGATTGTTGCTGGTTTAAAATGAGGAAAAATTAAAAAAGAATTACAAAAAAAATTTGGTGGATTCCTTGTGTGGATTTTGTGTGAAATTTAATCTTTTGGAACCTTAGCTTAGTTTATGAAGTTCAGCTTGTGAAAGCTTTAGCTCATCTGTCTCAAATTTCGACATAATATTCCCACAAGAACTCTCAAAACCATCTTCCATCTCACTCTTTTTTCATCTCCAAATTCAAACGAGCAATTAAACAATTAAAATGAGTGAGATGAAGAAGAGAAGATGAAAGGGAAAAAAAAAGTTTAAGAACGTTGAAGAATAAAAACAAAATTTTATACATATAATAATATTGAGCATGGGATGAGATGAACATGAAGCACCTCAAGGTGTAATTATTAATGCACGATTGATGGCCATTGCCTTTGAAATTGAAATCTTTCTCTCACTCATTCCGACTGACTTTAATATAGTGCGAGTTGGATTCGGTTGGGATGGGAGATGTGAGGGGGTATGGGAAGCATTTTTGGCATTATACAGGGTTCAACAAAAGAATCAATCTCAGCCAGGAAAACGCATGGCTTAAGAGTCAAGCTTAGTCCGAAGAAAGCTCATCAAAAGAATCAAGCTCAGCTGTAACAACACTCAGCCTTATAAACGTAAAGCTTTATCAACGCTCAGCCTTTACAATTCTCAGCAATAAAAACGATCAGCCATAGCAACGTTCAGCCATAACAACGCTCAGCCTTAACAACTTTCAGCCATAGCAAAGCTCAGACATAGAAAAGTTCATCCGAGGAAACGTTCAGCCATAAGAAAGATTTGCCACAACCACTTTTAGCCATAATTACGCTCAACAATAACAACGCTAGGCCGTAGTAACGCTCAGCCATAAGAAAGATTAACCACAACTATTATTAGCCATATTCACGCTTAGTCATAACAACGCTCAGCTAAAACAACGCTCAGCTAAAACAACGCTCAGCCACAACACCGCTCAGCCATAAGAACACTTAGCCACAACAACGCACAGCCATATCAACGCTTAGCCATAACAACAATCAAACATAACAACGCTCAGCTATAAAAACGCTCAGCCGCAGTGACGTTCAGCCACAGAGTCCATTTAACAAAGAAAAAAGCTTAGACACAGCTCAAATGCAGCAAAAATCTCAAAACAACTCAAAAATTCCAACATTTTCTCATACAGTAATTTAATTACTAATTATCCTACCCAATCCGCCAACCCATACCCATAATAATTCAGCTCAAAAATCTCGCGAACTTAAATTTTTTTATATAATTTTTTTCGCTGTGTTTATATGGGAATGAGAAATGTGAAGAGAAAAAAAAATTCTTTATTATGAATATTGATGTAAAATTATAGTTGAAAAGATTGATTATTGTGGTTAAAGTAAAATGTACAATATAAAAGGTGGACTCTTTGGGCTGTTTTTAGTTCATTTTCTTCATGATTATAAAGTCCGATGATTGTATGATAATTTATGTAAATTTACTGTACTAATTGCATTTATTGCTCGGCTATGTGCACCAAGAATGGGAGATTTTTTTATATTTTATAATATGTTTCTGGTTGGAGGTCATGAAATGAGGAGAGAAAAAAATTCCAGTAAAGTTCATTTCTTGCCTAAATGAGATACACATGAGATGAATAATTTTTTTAGCGAGATTTTCTTGTAAAATTGTTGATGGATTTTGCATTATTTTGTTGGTTTGGTATATTAACCTTTTAATGAGTGCGAGATTGACTTCGATTAGTTGCTGGAATTATTGGAAATCTCATATGGGATGTAATCATGAGATAAACATGCTTATGCATACATTTGATTAAAGCAAAAAAACCCATCTAAGACCACGTGGCTGGATTTTTGACTTTATTTTTTAAAATTTGGTAACAAATCCTGCATGATTATAAAAATGTTATAGTTGTTGAACGCTTGCCACTTTTTTCTATCGATTAACTCTAAAAATTTTCGAAAATTTTGAAAACGGATATCGAAAAATATGAATTTACTTTTCGAGGTGGGGTATTTTTAAATCTTATTTATATTATCACAGGATTGGTAATTAATGTATAATTCAAAAATATTTGTAATGATCTGGAATGATTTCAGTTAAAAATTGTAAAAGACAAGCAAATTTAAATTGGCTTATAAAAAATGCGCCTTTTTCACAACACCCATCTCTGACTTTTTAACTTGTGATTTCTAAAATTTTAAATTCTAGCTAAAGAATGAAAACAATAAACAGTAACAAAATGTTACGAAAAAATCAACATAACCTGAAAACTCATCAAAAATGCGCCTTATCCTCTCAAATTCAACTCATCATCTCTAACCGACCTTCCTTTCATAGAGTGCAAAGTAGATGAAAATAAAAATTATCTACAATAAAATTATTTTTCTCTTTCTTTATTCGTTAAGGTGCAATGTTCACTTTGCTTTTGGCAGTCTCAATTTTTTATTTTGTGTTCGGATGAAAAATAAGGAATTTTTACGACTCATTTTCGTTATAAGCACAAAAGAAGCATAATTATGGTCGAGTTCAGTATAAAATTTATAATATATGCATTAATTTTTTTATATAGAAAAAAAATAATATAATAAAATAAATTGATAGTTCAGCTGCACATTTTTATATTATTTTTTATTTTATTGGATTCTGTATGAATTATTGGGATTGAGATAAGGTGTCTGTGGGTGATGAATTGGTAGTTTCAGATGAAGATTGGAGGAATTGTTGAAAATTGTTGTAAAATACTTGATAAATTAGGATGGAATTTATGTTTTTGAATGGACTCAAGGCTGAAAGGGATTAATACTCATTAGAACTAAGTGTATCTCAAGCTGAGCATCGTTATGGCTGAGCTTCATTAGAGCTGAGTGTCTTTATGGCTGAACGTCTTTAAAGCTGAGCGTGTTTATGGATGAACGTTTTTTCAGCTAAGCGTTTTCATGGTTGAGCGTCATTATAGCTGAGCGTCTTTACAGCTGAGCGTCTTTATGGCTGAGCGTGTTTATTTCTAAACGTTTTTAAAACATTGAAAATGACAAATCATCCGAATCTTTGATTAAACACCAATACCAAATGTCATTAATATCTCGTCCAAAAAAATATAATTTTAATTCATCTTCTCGCATTCCCTTTCAATTCTTTTAATTCCGACTTTAATTTTTCATTTGATGCTACATCTTTTTTTTCATCATCCACGAAATAATTTTTCTTCTGTAACGTTAAACATTAATCGCTGGAATAATCTGATGATGATTATTTTCGTGTGCGAATGAAACGTGTAAAAATCAAGCAAAAATAAAGTAAAGCAAATGAAACAAAGAATTAAGCGGGAGAGACGAGTGGAATGAGGAGAAATATGTGTGTAGATAAATAAAGCTTGAAGAATAAGAAAATTAAATCACGTAGCCGAAAATGCGAGTCGAGATGAAATTAAATTAAATTGGGTAGGAATTAAAAAATTATCGCGCGACAATGTGCCATTGTTTGATGAAATTTAATGTGAGACGATGCTGAAGTCGATGATTTTTTTACGTGATGAAAGGTTCTTGTGGAGTTGTTTTTTTTTTTTTTTGGTAGATTTTGGAATCTTTGACAGGAAGATTTTGCAAAATTTGAATGAATTGCAAAGGTATTTTTTTTCTTCTTTGATCTTTGTCTCATTTTCTGCATCTTTGGAATTTCGCATCATTTTCAGCATCACTGAAGTTCTGCTTCGTTGTCTCCATCTTTAAAGTTCTTCTTAATTTTTTGCATTTTTGAATTTCTGCATCTTTGAAGTTTTGCATCATTGTCGGCATCTTTGAAATTCTGCTTTAATGTTTTGCTTCTTTTCAGTTCTGCTTAATTGTCTGCATCTTTGAATTTCTGCTTTATTTTCTGCATCTTTAAAGTTCTGCTTCATTGTCTACATCTTTGAAGTTCTGCTTCATTATCTGCATCTTTGAAGTTCTGCTTCATTTTCTGCACCTTTGAAGTTCTGCCTCATTGTCTGCATCTTTGAATTTCTGCTTTATTTTCTGTATCTTTAAAATTATGCTTTATTTTCGGCATCTTTAAATTTCTGCTTCATTATCTACATCATTAAAGTTCTGCTTCATTGTCTATACTTTGAAGTTCTGCTTCATTTTCTTCACCTTTGAAGTTCTGCTTTATTTTCTGCATCTTTAAAGTTATGCTTTATTTTCGGCATCTTTGAATTTTTGCTTCATTATCTACATCTTTGAAGTTTTGCTTCATTATCTGCATCTTCTTCATCTTTTTTGAAGTTTTGCTTCATTTTCTGCATCTTTGAAGTTCTGTTTCATTTTCTTCACCTTTGAAGTTCTACTTCATTTTCTGCACCTTTGAAGTTCTGCCTCATTGTCTGCATCTTTGAATTTCTGCTTTATTTTCTGCATCTTTAAAGTTCTGCTTCATTGTCTACATCTTTGAAGTTCTGCTTCATTATCTGCATCTTTGAAGTTTTGCTTTATTTTCTGCATCTTCAAAGTTCTGCTTCATTTTCTTCACCTTTGAAGTTCTGCTTCATTTTCTGCACCTTTGAAGTTCTGCCTCATTGTCTGCATCTTTGAATTTCTGCTTTATTTTCTGCATCTTTAAAATTATGCTTTATTTTCGGCATCTTTAAAGTTTTGCCTAATTTTCTGCATCTTTTAAGTTCTGCTTCATTTTCTGCATCTTTAAATTTCTGCTTCATTGTCTACATCTTTGAAGTTCTGCTTCATTCTCTGCATCTTTGAATTTCTGCGTTTATTGTCTGCATCTTTGAAGTTCTGCTCCAGTGTTTTGCTTCTTTTAAGTTCTGCTTCATTTTCTGCATCTTTAAAATTATGCTTTATTTTCGGCATCTTTAAAGTTTTGCTTAATTTTCTGCATCTTTAAAGTTCTGCTTCATTTTCTGCATCTTTAAATTTCTTCTTCATTATCTACATCATTAAAGTTCTGCTTCATTGTCTACATCTTTGAAGTTCTGCTTCATTTTCTTCACCTTTGAAGTTCTGCTTTATTTTCAGCATCTTTAAAGTTATGCTTTATTTTCTGCATCTTTAAAGTTATGCTTTATTTTCGGCATCTTTGAAGTTTTGCTTCATTATCTGCATCTTTGAAGTTTTGCTTCATTTTCTGCATCTTTGAAGTTCTGCTTCATTATCTACATCATTAAAGTTCTGCTACATTGTCTACATCTTTGAAGTTCTGCCTCATTGTCTGCATCTTTGAAGTTCTGCTTCATTGTCTGCATTTTTGAAGTTTGCTTAATTGTCTGCATCATTAAGGTTCTGCTTCATTTTCTGCATCGTTGAATTTCTGCATCATTTTCTGTTTTTTTTAAGTTCTGCTTCAGTTTTTGTATCTTTGAAGTTTTGCTTCAATGATTTGCTTCTTTTAAGTTCTGTTTCATTTTCTGCATCATTGAAGTTTTGCTATATTTTCTGCATTTTTGAAGTTTGCTTAATTGTCGCATCATTAAGGTTCTGCTTCATTTTCTGCATCGTTGAAGTTCTGCTTCATTAACCGTATCTTTGAAGCTCTGCTTCATTTCCTGCATCTTTGAAGTTCTGCATCATTGTCTGCATCTTTGAAGTTCCGCTCAATGCTTTGATTTTTTTTAAGTTCTGCTTCATTTTCTGCATCTTCAACTAACGTCAACCTTTCCCTCATTAATACCAATCACTTCCCATAATCAAAACCATTCCAAAATCACAGTCATCACGTAATCGATATCCTTACTCACCCAGTCCTCTATCCATCTCAAGTATCCATCCTTAATGTGATAAAAATATTGTAGCAAATGCATAAATTAAAATGTTTTTTTGTTGCTACATTCAGCTTCATTTCCATTCCTTTGTCTCCCCTCTCGTTGCTTAATCGTCTTCATCATTACGAAATTAAAAATAAGAATTCGATGGAAAAGGAAAAATAATGAAAATTGAAATTCTATCGTAAAAAAAAATTGGAATCGATGTCGTCTCATTGTGCATCATTTAGCATTTCAATTAAAATTCAGATTATTGGAGAGAAATTAATTGTAGTTTAGGGAGGACTTTGGATGGGGTGGGGATATAAATGGGTATCGATGGATTGTGCTGGATGAGATGGCCGTTCATAATTCACCAGATTTTGTTCCAGATTAAAAGATAAAATCCACAAATTGCATACGGAAAAAAATTTGCATTTTCCTTCAATTCTCAAACCTAACAAAATTCTCATTTAATATTCATTAACACAGATCACACTTCATCACGTTTTAGCAACAAGCAAGAAAGGGTCAGTCAATGTCCATTCCCATAAAATTCACACAAGATACGCAATTAAATTGTAAGTTAAAAATGCAGAGCAAATGCGGCTCATGTTACACGCTCGTTTTACAAATTGGATTTTAATGTTTTAATTACTCTCCTTTGTTCTGCTCGCTTTACTTCCATTCCGTGAGTTTTGCATGTTATTTTTGGCGAGAAATTTAATTGCTGGTTGAATGTGCTGAGGGTTCTGACTTGCTATGTTGTATGTTAATGATAATTAAGATCTTTCATGCTTGGATAAGTCACGAACTTGGCTTTGAAGTCGAGTGGAAATTTATTTTTGTGTGGTTTTGGAGTTACGCAATGTAAGGATAGCAACTACACACATCATAACCCCCATCCACAACACAAAGGAAATTGCCCCGAAGGAATGTTAATTAAACATCTCTATTCACTAATTCCAACTCTATTTTAACCCTTTTTTCCGTACTTCCTCATCAACTTTTCATCTCACATAAAGCAAACTAATCAGCACAAAAATTTTTAGTTTTTTTCTTCTTTCGGCTCAATTATTTTTCGTTTGTTCTTTTTAGCGCATTTTTGAAACTTGTTTCAAAAAGGTAGCTTAATAACGCACTTTGGTCGGCTGGTCGGCTGGTCGGCTGGTCGGCTGGTCGGCTGGTCGGCTGGTCGGCTGGTCGGCCGCTAAGAAAAACTTTTAATCTAGACATCGTAGAGAGTTCTAGTTTTTTGCATTAGTTCCGTTATATCGAGTTATTGGCCCGCCGGACATTTAAAAATCTTAAAACAGTGTATTTATGCTATAATTAATGAATTTTTGTTTTGTTTTCAGTGTAACCTGCTCAAATTTTATTTTACCTCTATAATTTCAATATTACCTCTATAATTTCAAAAAATTTCTAGCCGTTGTAAAATTTGAATTTCAAAAAACCGTTAAATGATAAACTTTTTTTGTATGGAAATTCATTGGAACAAATTATTTAATTATACTATAATTAATTTTTTCGTAGTGCAACTTATAGCGGGAAAATTTCAAACTATTTATTGACCGTTAGAAAATTTGAATTACAAAAAAATGTTAAATGATAAACCCTTTCTGTATGAAAATTCATTGCAACAAATTATTTAATTATACTATAATTAATTTTTTCGTAGTGCAACTTATAGCGGGAAAATTTCAAATTATTATTATATTGACCGTTAGAAAATTTGAATTACAAGAAACCGTTAAATGATAAACTCTTTCTGTATGGAAATTCATTGCAACAAATTGTTTAATTATACTATAATTAATTTTTTCGTAGTGCAACTTTTAACGGCAAAATTTCAAATTATTTACTGACCGTTAGAAAATTTGAATTACAAAAAATCGTTAAATGATAAATCCTTTCTGTATGGAAATTCATTGCAACAAATTATTTAATTATACTATAATTAATTTTTTCGTAGTGCAACTTATAGCGGGAAAATTTCAAATTATTTAATGACCGTTAGAAAATTTGAATTACAAAAAACCGTTAAATGATAAACCCTTTCTGTATGGAAATTCATTGCAACAAATTGTTTAATTATACTATAATTAATTTTTTCGTAGTGCAACTTTTAACGGCAAAATTTCAAATTATTTACTGACCGTTAGAAAATTTGAATTACAAAAAATCGTTAAATGATAAATCCTTTCGGTATGGAAATTCATTGCAACAAATTATTTAATTATACTATAATTAATTTTTTCGTAGTGCAACTTATAGCGGGAAAATTTCAAATTATTTACTGACCGTTAGAAAATTTGAATTAAAAAAAACCGTTAAATGATAAATCCTTTCTGTATGGAAATTCATTGCAACAAATTATTTAATTATACTATAATTAATTTTTTCGTAGTGCAACTTTTAACGGCAAAATTTCAAATTATTTATTGACCGTTAAATAATAATCCTTTCTATATAAGCATTCATTGTAACTTTTTGTTAATTACACTAAAATTAATGATCTTCTAATCTTCTCATGATCTGTAAATGAACGCAAAATAATTACATAATCAAATACTGATCGCTAACACAAAAATGCGCTTAAGTCCCTCGATCAATAACACGAGGACTTCTGTAATTTTTTCATATTTTTATGTTGAAATTATAATTATTCAGAATAAAGTTTTATTCTACGTGAGCATGTAGCTTGGCTGTATCAAATGACAATGAGGAATTAGAAATTGTGGATCATGACTGTAATGAGAACTGCCTGAGGGGATTTATAAAGTTGTGAATTTATTATTTTAATGAAAATCGTGCGGAATAAAGTTTTTAATGTTTTTTTTTTTGATTCATTAACCTGAATTGTTGTTGAAGGTGGATGGGGGGGGGGGGGGGGTTAAGGGGTGAAAAGTTTTTGGTTCATTTATGGTTTTTGGCATTGAGAGTTAGATCTGATGAGCTTGAGTTGAGCTGGACATGTGTTTAGAAGCTCACAAGATTCACCAGTTCTTAAAGAGTCAGTTGCAGACTTTTCGGACTATAAGCGATCTAGAGGAAGACTAAAGAATACCTGAACTTGGTGTGTTGATTAGGACACTAAAATCCCAAACTGGCAGAAGGTTTCACAGATTCGAGCCATGCACGTAGGCAGGAGGGTATTGTCCCCCTCTTAAGCGTTTTATGCCATGCTCTCGTTGCAGTTCAAAACGTTTAAGGAGGGACATGACCCTCCTGGCTACGCGCCTGATTTGAGCTATTTTCAGAAAATCTCGAAAACGCTCCAATAAGCTCAAGGCTAACCCACCAATCAGCTGGTAAATCAATTCAGTTTTTTATTAAGCTGTCCATGAGTTTTTGCCAACTTTTAGTCAAAAAGGAAGACATGTCCCGATTTCAGCTCTGAAAAAGCGGGACAGACCAAATTTTCATTCATTTTCCATTAAATAGGTTCAAAAAAGCTGGACATTAAGGATTTTAATCTGTACTTTGTTCAAAAAAGTGGAACTGTCCAGCTTAAAAGTACAAATTTGGACAGCCTCACCTTAACCTCTCCAAAAACTCACAATAAACATCTAAGACGCAACATCTCAACCCTTTCGTTCTCGATTTTATTTCCTCACATCCCTTTTGTATCCCTCCATCCCTTAATATCCTTAAAACTTCCTCAATTCTCATCAACATATTGTATTTAATACACTTCATGACCTCACGTTGATCATGATTTCAGTCTCATTTACATATTTATTATAATAATATTTTTTTTTGGCTGTGAAATTAAAACTTTTTCTTCATTTCCATTGTTGATGACTTTATTTTATGTATTTAGTTACTTATAATTACAATGAGTAAGGAAGAAAGGATTGAGAATGGGGAAGTTGGGAAGTTATGAGAGGTTATGTGTGGTTAATGAGCATTGTGAGGTGAGTTTTGGATTTTGGATTTTTGTAGTTGCTATGGGGGGAGTAATAGGGGGCTTGAGGGGTTTTTTTGGAGTAGAAGATACGTTAAAGGGGTACAAAAGGATGTCAATTGGGACAGGGGGGTTGCAAGAAGTTTTTTTATTCCCGCTTGGCACAAAATGATTTTTTTCAAGATTTTATGACCCCCTCTGCTCCCTTCCCTTCTGCCCCCCTGCTACCCTGCCTCCCTGCCCACCAGCCCCTGCCCCCTTGATCTTCTGCCCCCCTACCTCCTTGCCTTTTTGCCCTCTGCCCCCCTGCCTTTTTGCCCTCTGCCCCCCTGCCTTTTTGCCCCTGCCGCCTGCCCCCCTGCCCCCCCTCTCGCAATTCAACACAAATTTTTCACTAACAACCCATTTAACACCCAGCAATCCAAGCTCCACGAGCCACAATTACAACAACAAGCAATAATTACCTTCATTACAACATAATTTCCATTCTCATCACAAAGTTACGCACAACGAGCACACCTCATACAGCACAAATAATCAACATTGTTCATTTATCATCTCCGTCAACCCTTTTTTTTCGTGTAATCATTTTTCCACCCTCGTATCTCTTCATTATGATTATTATCTTCAATCTTTTGCAATTGTACGCACATAATAACTCATCAACATGACACCTATTAACCGATTAATTTACATATATGCGTACTTTAACGGGGGCTCTGTGCGTACAATCAACGATAATTAACATTTCGCACTTAATAATTTACTAAAAAACATTTATCATGTTAACACTTAGTTTTTATTGTGTAATTAAACATGCTAACGAACACGCTTTTTTATGTGTGAATGAATTTGTTGTTGACGAGATAATTGTACGATGATAACGTGACTGTTCCTGCCCAACGGCGTTTGGAATGGAAATGAAAATGCAAATTTTTTGATGCGAATAGAATTTATGATTTTTTAATGAATTATTGGATTTTATGGGGGGTGTGGGAGGGCAGGAGCGTAACCATGTGGGGGGGGGGGGGATTTTTTTTTTTTTTTTTTTTAAAGATTGATTCGTTTTATTGTATTTTAGTTTAAACTATTAATACAAAAAAAAAATATATAAGATACATTTAAGAAGCTTAATTACTATAGTTTTACATATCACACCACAAATGCTTTAAATAAAGATGCTCTTTGATTTGTAGGACAAATCCTTCCGGAATTAACAGTAATTTCTTCATTTTGCTAAGAGTTTTATGAAAAAATCAAAATTTTATGGGGGGTGTGGGAGGACAGGAGCGTAACCATGTGGGGGGGGGGGGGGATTTGTGGGACAAATACTTCCGGAATTAACAGAAATTTCTAAAAAATCAAAAAAATTCCTCTCTTTTCTCTGAATTTTTCAAATAAAATTTTTTGCCCCCCCCCTTCTCTTCAAATTCATGGCTACTCCACTGTGGGAGGGGGGTTGTTGGTGATGATTGGATGGAGGTCATGGCTGAAGGGGGGAATTAAGTTAGAGCCTCATAAAAGATGAGCTCCAGACTGTCAAATCGACCCGAATAACTCACAAAACTGCTGATCACCCCAAACATATGACATCAATCCATGCACACAAATCCCCCCCCCCCCCCATCACATCCCTCAAAAAAAGTCACAAATCATCATCATAATCACTAGCAACCACCAAAAATTTATTGCATCTACATTTGGGGTCGTTCACTTATGACGCCAACATTAAGGTGGGAAGGGGGGGGGGATCAAAAAATTACACACATTATGGCAGTGGTGGGAGGGGGTCAGAAAACATCCATTTTTTTAAATTATTAAATTATAATTTTTTTGTCTAGTATTTAACGTCATAGAGGGGGGGGGGGCTTTTTTGGACAGAAGGGGGTGTAGGGGGGGGGGCTTTGGGACAAAAGGGGATGATTTTTTGTGACAAGGTGTTGGGTCCTTTTGTGACAAAGGGGTGGAAGCTTTTTAGGACAAAAGGGGGGGGGGGGGGGTGGGTGGCATTTTTGTGACAAAGGGGGAGGGGGCTAAAAATAAGACTCTTTGATGGACGCCATAAGTGAACGGCCCCTTTTCCAAAAAAAATTATTATTACAATTCCAGCACGCATCACATTCCGAATTATTCAAAATAACATTTGCCTGCATTTCGCCCTTAAATGACCGACCAGAACAAGATAAATTAAATGCAGATAATGATTCCTTTCGTGTGTGAGGATTGCAAATTGCAGATTTTGTGGACATTCTCGAATTTCCTATTTGCATGCAAATGATGGACTTTTTTGAGGATGGAATGAAAATTATATTGGATGTGATTTTTGAATTTTGGTGTTGTTGGAAATGATTTGGAATTTTTAAGGGGATATTTTGGTATAGGTTGGTAGCCAGGAGGGCCTTGTCCCCTTCTTAAGCGTTTTAGGCCGTGTTCTTGCTACGGTTCTAAACGTTTAAAGTGGGACAAGACCCTCCTGGCTACGCGCCTTGTGTGATTAGCTCAAAAAATCAACCAAAATTTGCCTTAAAAAATTAGATTTAACCAGAAAAATTCACATTAATGAACTGTAAAAAAATTAATAAATTTACTATATTTTATTTTATTTAATTCATTCAACATTTGCAATTCAAAATGACTTGTTGGAGTTTAAATTGTCTCATTTTATTTATTTTTATTTCTTTCTACAACTCAGAATGCAGTCAATTTCCGAGAAAAGGACTTTTTGGCGATCGAGGTTAGCTCAGTGGACAGTTTTAATATTGCTAAGTTTGCCAAATCACGATTTTATTTCTTCCAGGCATCAACACCCTCAACCCCTCCTACAACAGATTCATTGATGTCGCATACGATCCAGTCCACGAAGAAATGATCGACGACATGGTCATGACCCACGACATCGCTGAAAGCTTATTCTCACCATTTGTAAAAAAGAATGCAATTCTTGATCGAACTCATTTGTGGCGCAACAAGACAGTCTTTTACTATATTGGCAATGAGTATACGGATAAGCACCGGGAAGTCATAAGAGATGGAATTCAATTGATTCGAGACGCAACTTGTGTTAAATTTGTTGAATTAAGACATCCGAGTCAAGCACCAGGCACTTATGTTCATATAAGTTCTAGGAAGGGATGCTATGCGAGGATTGGATCGAAATGCAAGAATGCAGTTTGTGAAATGAGTTTGGAGATTCCGGTGAGATTGTTGTTGCATTTTGGGATGGCTTTTAGGTGCAATTTTGGTTCTGTTGGGGTTTTTTTGCTTCAATTGACTCTTAGAACTTCTAATGTTACCTTTTTGAGGTCTTAGAAGGGGTTTTAAGATGCTGAAGTAGATTGAACTCAGCAGATCATTGAATTAGCTCCCTACAAAGTCCATTTTAGACCTACTTCATGTCTATCCTTCCTGAATATTATTTAAGATACCCTCTAAGCCAGTGCTGTCCAAACTGTGTGCCGGGGCACACTGGAGTGCCATAGAAATTTTTTGTAAACAACGCTAGCCGCATGCTGTATAATTTCTTACCCCTAAGGTGTGTCGTGGCTCAAAGAAGTTTGAACAGCACTGCTCTAAGTCATAAACTACTTAAAAGTAAACATCAATTACAAATTCTAGGGTTGCATCCATACAGGCACAGTCGCTCATGAGTTCCTTCATGTTCTTGGCTTCTTCCACATGCAATGTGCTACCGGAAGAAGCAATCATATCCGAGTTATGTTCGACAACATTGATGAGAAAATGTTAGCAAAATTAGATTAAATTTGACATTTTAATAATAATGTTTGTAAATTTTAGGTGGGGGAACTTTGAAGAATATGCAACTGACTCAACATTGCTAGGCACTCGTGAGTATTGAATAGATATTTTGTAATTTTTGATAGCTATTGTTGTGAATTACATTCCAGCATATGACTACGAGTCCATCACACATTACGGCAGCATGTTCTTCTCGAAAGATAAAATAAATCCATCAATAATCACAAGAGATCAGACGATTCAAAAAAGGATTGTATGAAATTAACTTTGATCTACTTTGGGGACTGTTCGTAAATGACGTTTGTCAAAAAATGTGATTTTTAAACCTTAATGTTGCACATCATTGATGAATGGAATATATTTTTTTAATGTGATTTAAGTTGGCAGGAAGTAACATTTTTTGGAGAACGTCATTAGTGTACGACCCCAAAAAAATTCACAAAATATTCAAAAAATTTAATAATTTCAGGGTCAACGCAAGTATCTGAGTAGAGGAGACATCGAAAGAGTTTTGAGACTCTATAATTGCTACTAGTTTCAAATGTTCATCAATTTTGACCTTAATCAACAGATTCTTTAAGGAGCTGTTCACTAATGACGTCCACGAGAAGGGGGGGGGATAATTCCTGGAATTCCATTGTTCTTTTTTGAAAAATGGCCGTCATGAATGAACGTTCCTTAATATTTATTGCACCTTTTTGTCATTTGACTGATTTTAGACTTCAATAAAATGTAAAAGTTCTAATTTAATCTTAATTTTTGATTGATTCGAAGTTTAAAGTCTAAGTAATCGATGTTGTGGTTGACTCAAAACCTTAGGCCTAGAGATAACTGCTTCATCTTAGTTATAAGCTTTACTTATTGACTTTCATTTGGCTTCTGGTGGCTTTGCAACTGTGATTATGAGACAATTAGATGAGACACTAAGGTTATAAGGTAAAATAGATTCTGTTCTAATTTGAGTCGCAGCGCCTCCAGCTGAAAGGCTAGGCCCTTCACACATTATTATTATTATTACTTAAAGTTATAAGCTCTTGAACAGAAAGTTGAAAAAGAGTGGTTCAAATATGTTGGCAAATTGCCAGTTCCAATGGCAAGCCCAATAGCTTCTTGGCCTAAGCACTTGACCGACAATCGAGAGGTGCGAGGTTTGATTCCCGCTTGGGATGAATCATGGGGTTAATTTCTTTTTTTTTTTCAACATTTTTTGATGATGTGGTGTTCATTTTTAAGGTTTGTGACACCAAAACCTTTTTGACTATTGGATATATATCATAGATTGCCCTGCAACAATGATTGACAGTATCAAATTCACAAAAAGAAAATTAGAGCAAAATTAGAGCTTAGATTTACTTACAGCAGCCAGTTTCTAAGGCTTACAAAGTTTTTTTTTCCCAGAAATTGACTTTGAGGTATAAGTAAAGTTTGACTGTATATGCCAATGCCCGGCCGACCCCCTTGTTATGGCATCGAGGGTACCATTACTGAACTTCTAAGCTACAGTCTTTCTATAATTAAATTTACTCCAAAACTCAACATTTTTCAGGTTAATCCACTGTTTACTGTCTTAATGAGACATTTAAGCTCTACCTCTAGAAACATAGTTTGCAGGCATTCATTTTGTGATCGCCTCCATTGAAGTTCGAGTACTTTTTGGTATGGAAGTCCGACTGCAGGGTTCAACATGCTTCATCATATTTGAACTTAACCTTTATTTTCATTGATATCAAATCCAAGCGACCAAAGTTGGTTAACAACTTAATAAAAATTAAAATTCTAACTTACCTTAAAAGCGATGAAAATCAGCGAATCTGTAACGAAATTAGAAAATTATCGCTTATTAAAAAAAGTTGTTAATCAAATTAATCACTTCATTTAACATTCGATATTATTATAAAATTCACATTATTAAACTATTCAGTCAACAAGTTTTCTTCGAAGAATTCAGTTGAACTTGAATTTAAAATTTTGTCACAAAAATTAGATTTTTCAAAACTTGAATCATGCAATTAGTCAAAATTTTGATCTTGCTAGTTGCAATCTCAATTGCTGAGTCATCTCCATGGAAAGCTTGGTCAAAACCTAGCAAAAGAGTTCTTAAAAGACGAGGTAAGGCACAAGTACTAAAAGTCATATTATTCAAACTCGTATCTGAAGTCTAATGAGTCCTAAATCTGGAGTCTTAAAGACCAAGTACCATAAGCCAGTGGTGCTCAACCTTTTTTGTGCCACGGTACACTTATTGGTAAGCCATGACCAAAACCGGACACAGCAGACGGTTAATAAGGAAGCAAAAAAAAAAATAGTGTGCCGCAGCACACGGGTTGACCATCACTGCACAAAAATGTTTCTACAGATTTATTTAAATAACTTTCAGAAGACAGCTTCAAACTCTTGCCAGATTTCAACATAGACCAATCAGAATACTGGGACAGCTCAGAAGAAGATCATGATCATGGCGACCATGAACACCATAAGCACGACTGCCATAAAGATCATCATCACAGCAATGAACAGCACAGCCATAAGGACCATCACAGCAATGAAGATCACAACAGCCATGAAGACCACAGCCATGAAGTCCATCATCACGAAAACCATGAAGACCACGACCACCACAATCATAAAGATCATGACTTTGACAGTTTTGAAGATTCTGATGAATACGGAATTTTAGATTACAACACTCAAGGTTCTGATTCTGAAGAAGATATAGACGGTCGACCTAGACCAAGACCAACAACTGATAGACCACAATGTATTCATTCTAGGTTCAATAATTACAGAACTAAACCACGAGCAATGAATCAAAATTCAGTTTTTGACATGCAAATGCAAGCCATGCAAGACAGCAAAAGGTTCTTAAAGTCTTTACAGCAAATGTCTTCAGATTTTGTTAACATGATTAAAGTTTAAAAGATTTTAAATAAAGATTCACTAAATGTGCTCTAATCTATCCTTGAACAATTTTTTTGTTATGTTCTTAAGGCGACAAGAAGCAAACATTTGTTTTTTATTTTTTTTTCAATTCCTCTTCTCCCTTTTCGTCTTATGTCCACTTATTCTGCTTTATTTCTTGATCTCCTGTTTTGTTTGCTCTTTTTTTATAGTCACTATTTTTTTGGTATACAGTTATATTCAGCTAAATAAAAAAAAACTGATACGATTGAGAAATGTGTAGATTGATAGATAAGAATATTGATGGGATGTGAATCCTTAGAGTGAATTTGTTTTGATGTTTACTAGAGATAATAGGTTCAAGTGCCTTCACACTCGAGTTACTAGGTTCAGGTGTCTTTACACTAAAGTAGCTAGGTTCAGGTGTCTTTACAATAGAGTTAATAGGTTCTGGTGTCGTCACACAAGAGTTAATAGGTTCAGGTGTATTCACACTAGAGTTAACAGGTTCAGGTGTCTTTACACTAGAGCTACTAGGTTCAGGTGTCTTCAAACTAGAGCTCCTAGGTTGAGGCGTCTTCACACTAGAGTTACTAGGTTCAGGTGTCTTCGCACTAGATTTCCGAGATTCAGGTGTTTTAACACTAGCGGTACTAAGTTCAGGTGTCTCTACACTAGAGACACTAGATTCAGGTCTCTTCCCAATAGAATTGCAAGATTCAAGTGCTTTTACACTAGAGTTCCTAGGATCAGGTGCCTTCACAATAGAGTTCCAAGATTCAGGTGCCTTCACATTAGATCCCTTTACACTAAAGTTGGTGAAAATTTCAAAATCTGAAAAAATAATCCTAAAAACACAGCAATAAAAAAATAAAAAGAATTAGAAAGCAGTTAATCAGCAAATAAATGAAAAGAATCCACAAAAAAACTAAAAAAAAACTCAAATAAAGATAAGAAAAAAAAACTTCACATTCGCCCTTCAATGCCTTAAATAAACACACATACGAAAAAAATCTCTATTTTGCGATAAATTAACACAAATTTAGAAATTTATTGCGCAAACAAGAAAGAAAGAAGTTCCATTAATTTCATTTTAGGGATCTTTTTACTTCGTCTATTGTTTGTTCATTTTGAAGTGCCAACTGTACACATACGTGAGACATTTAATTCTCATTTGTACACAATCCCGGGCACGTAATTTCGTTCCTGAATGATAAGAATCGCATGGAATTGATGGAGGAAGTGTTGGAAAATTGGGGGATTAATTGATGGAATATTTTGGCTGTTTTTGCGAGGGGGAGTGGGGTTGGAATGGGGTTAAATTGGGTTGGTTGAGTTAAGATCTTCAACTTTGAGTCCCTAGTGCAGTGTTTCTCAAACTATTCTCCGCAAAAAAAATTGATGTGTCAATAGTGGTTGCCAGCGATGCGCGGAAACAGCTTCGGATGACTTCAAGCTTCTTTACTGGTCCTAGGTTTAAAAAGTTTGAGAAACACTGCCCTAGAGGGAATCAAATCTTAAGCAGTTGAACACGTTGGTCACTTAAAGACCCCTCAAAGTCAGTAAGACAATTAATTTCACATTTTTTTCTCGATGTTTTATTAATTTTTATTGTTATTTAACATTCTTAGCACAGAAAAGCAATTTAGAGCCTCAATAATCCAATCCTAGATCCCAACAGCTATCAAACCAGCTAAATCTTGATGTCCTTAACCTCAAATTCCTCTTGACTTCTCCGATTTTTAATGACTTGATGAACAAGCACCAGCAAGTAAAATGAACAGAAATGTCAGATAAAATAGTAAAAAATTCATCTTTTAATGACAATGACTGCTTAAATACTGAAATAATTGCGAGTAGTAAGCTTAACAACTGATGATTTACATCTTAAACTGTATAAAAATATTCATAACATCCAGTCTATTTGCTCAGCTTTAATTAAACTCCAGTCTCTGTGTTTAACACGATTACTGTCAATTCAGTCACGCTGCAGCTTCTGAATCATTTGGATGATATTTGAAATTTTTATCATTTCAGTCACAAGTTTTGCTGTTATGGACTAAAATTGCAGACAAATGGACTCAACTTCAAGATGGTTTTTCGGATATTTTGGAAGAATCTTGAGTTGATCATTTAGATCAGTGATGAACAACCTGTGTGCCGCGGTGCATAAAGTTGTGCACCACTGATTTAGATCGATGATTTGCTCCTCTGAATAAATGTCTGTTTGGCTGGCTGGTTAACATTTTAAACTGACTTGATTAATTTTGCCGCTTTCTGGCTAAAACTGGCAATTTGACATCAAATCTAAACTGATTATTTACACATTTTTTTTCAATAAACAAGCATTCATCGCAAGAATTTCAAGGTCTTACAGCAAATAAAACAAAAATTGATAAAAAAAATAACTCCGGAAATTGAAATGAATTCATTAAAGACACAAAACCCCAATTTCTAGCCAATATTTATTCAAAATGCTATTTATTTAGTCCCAGTATTTTTTGTCACACTTTTCTTATCATTTAGAGACCTTAAACAACAGCAATAACTCATTTGTATATCTAAAGACTCGTAAATAAACAATCACTTTTCTTTGATTAATTTTATTTAATTTAGATTTTACTTTCACACATTTAAGTTAAAGCAAATGATTATTAATCAAGAAATAATTTTATTAGTTTGATCAGCTGCATGAATAATTTTTTGTATGTTCATTAAGTCTGCTTGTTGTGTCTTATCAGGAATTGATTTCGAGTTGAATTGTAAGTTCTTGTTTAAGTTTAAGACTGAGTGTGGATTGGTTCAATAAATGTTTAAGAGGAATTAAAGTTACAGGGTTGTAGTCTCGCACATGCTGAACAATCAATTATGAAGATTCAAGAACCATTAACCAAAACCAAGAACCAAGAACAAAGAATCAAGAAAACCAAGAACCAAGAACCAACAGCCAGGAGCCAAGAACCAAGAACCAGAAACCAAGAAACCAAGAACCATGAACCAATAATCAAGAACCAAGAACCAAGAACCAAGAACCAAGAACCAAGAACCAAGAACCAAGAACCAAGAACCAAGAACAAAGAGCCAAGAAAACCAAGAACCAAGAACCAAGAACCAAGAACCAAGAACCAAGAACCAAGAACTAAGAACCAAGAATCAAGAATCAAGAACCAAGACCAAAAAACCATGAATCAAGAACCAAGAACCAAGACCAAAAAACCATAAATCAAGAACCAAGAACCAAAAACCAAGAACCAAGAACCAAAAACCAAGAACCAAGAACTAAGAACCAAGAATCAAGAATCAAGAACTAAGAACCAAGAATCAAGAATCAAGAACCAAGAACCAAGAACCAAGAACCAAGAACCAAGAACCAAGAACCAAGAACCAAAAACCGAAAACAGGAACCAAAAACCAAGAACCAAGAACCAAGAACCAAGATCCAAGAACCAAGAACCAAGAACCAAGAACTAAGAACCAAGAATCAAGAATCAAGAACTAAGAACCAAGAATCATGAATCAAGAACCAAGAACCAAAAACCAAGAACCAAGAACCAAGAACCAAGAACCAAGAACCAAGAACCAAGAACCAAGAACCAAGAACCAAGAACCAAGAACCAAGAACCAAAAACCGAAAACAGGAACCAATAATCAAGAACCAAGAACCATGAACCAACAACCAAAAAGCTTGAACCAAGAAAAAAAGAGAGAACCTTGAATCTCAGACAATTTTTCTAACAACACTGAAATCAAACAATCCCAAAAGTCCCGTTATCTTCACCAAACACAAAGCAAAAAAAATTCATTCAAAAGGAAACGTCAAAAAAAGACGTCGCAACTGTGTTTTTCATATAAATTAAATTAATATCCCCATTCAGATGGACAAAGCATTAATTAAGCAAAAGGGCAGAGCACAAAGGAAGCGAGAAGATGAAAGAATGGACGTAAAAAATGCACCAAAAAGTCAGTTAAAAGCCGACAACGAAGAAATTAAAATAAGATCAATAAATTATTTATTTATTTATGTCGCGGTTGCCTCTCTTTTTTGTGGCAGAATCTGAAGCGTAAGAAACAATGCTGGAAGAAAAAGAGGAAGTTTTTTTCGTGGATAGAAAAGTTTTGCATAAGAATTCTTGGAATTGGTGTTTTGAGGAAGCTAAGGTCAACTAAAATTACAAACAAAGTAATTTTCACAAAATTCTAATTTTTTTTCTTAATTTTACCCACAAAAGTCATCCAAAATTCAACATTTTTTCAATACCCATCAATCGATCAATCGCAACAAAAAAACCTTCAATATTTTTTTTTGGTTACTGTCAGTCTTCGTTTCATTGTCATTCATCAACTCAACGAACGTTCATCTCCTCACAAAATGAGATGAGAAATACACAAATAAAAATAATCAAACGAAAGACGATGAAAAATGCAAAAATCGAGAAATTCAATTCTTTTATTTTCGGGATGAAGGCAAAAAAATCGTTTAAAATACAATTTGAGTTGCAATAAATTTTCATTTCTTTTGATTTTATTTTCACTAAAAATGCAAAAAATTGTTGGTTTTTTTGGATGTGGATTGATGACCCTTGTGGGGGCTTTTGTGTCGATTTGCTTTTTATTTCTTTTGAATTTTTTCCAATTTTTTAATTTTTTGAACATTTTTATCTTTTTTTTAAATTTTTTTGAAATTGTATTTTTTTGTTTATTTTTTCATTTTTTTTGATGTTTTTTCAATATTTTAACATTTTTTTGAATTTTATAATTTTCTGAATTTTTTTTAATTTTTTTTGAATTTTCTTTTTATTTTTTTTTGAATTTTTTTTTTGAACTTTTTAATTGTTTTACATTATTTCAATTTTTCAAATTTTTAATAATTTCTCAATTTTTTCGAATTTTTTAAATTTTTATCTGAATTTTTCAAATGTTTTCAATTTTTTTAATTCTTTCAACTTTTCTGAACTTTTAAAAAATTTAACCCGTTCTTTACTAGCGTAACATATATGTTACGCCAACTTTTTCGTAAAATTCTCTTCAGTAATTGAT